CGCATACGTAAGGTCAAAACAAGAATATGCGGCATCAGTTTGGAGCCCTCATCAGATCTACCTTATTAACAATCTGGAATCAGTTCAGAACCGGGCAGCAAGATTTATCTTGTACGACTATGACCGCACCACCAGCGTATCTGCTCTAAAAACTCAACTGAACCTCCCACCATTACAAGACCGCCGTAAAATTGCACGCCCTTCAGGTCTTCACAAAATTTACTATTATCATCCTACGCTTCGCGACGCCCTACTGCGTTCTCCCCTCCGATCATCGACCCAACACGGAAATTATAGAACAATCGCCAGCTTATCTGGTAGTATGAACGCATTCAACCACTCTTTCTTTCCCCAGACGATTGTCGACTGGAACAACCTGCCTGATGCCATTGTAACAATTGCAAACTCTGATGCATTCAAAACAGAATTATCGAGATTATTTGATTAAACAACAAATGTGTTTATTGTGCCTGTTTTTTTTTTTCTTTTTTTTGTTGTTTTTTTTTGTGTGCTTTTATGTGAACTCGTGTTAATGTGTGTATATTTATTGTACCATGTTTGTGTAACTATTGTATAAAATTATCCATGCAGCCCCCCTTATGTAATGCTCTAACAAGGGCCTTTATGGGTATATGAATAAATAAATAAATGAATAAATATAATTGGATAATTAGGGAATTCCGAGTTGTTAAAATATTAAATAATAGTTTTAAAGGCATGGTTTCCATTATAGTTTTGCTCGGCATCATCGTGAACTATTTAATACACTCACGTTACAATGAGGCATTTGAAATTATGCCTTTAAGATTAATAATTAGCAATTTATTCAGTCAAAATTACTTACCCAAATAGATTGAACGCTAAAAATGTTTCTTTGATGGCAGTGCAAAGGGCCAAAGCTGGCAAGGTGGTGGAAGCTACGAGCCCGTTGGACCACTCAAACGTCGATCTTTCGCCGCATGCCCACTCTGCCAGCCATATCCACGCAGAGGGCGTCGCCAGGCGATGAAATGGAGGTCTGGTCCGGCAAACGTGTAGCTCGCACCGCTCTGTCAGCTTCAAGGGGCCTTGCAACGATATTGAGGGCTTTCTGGCACCTGTGGGGCCCAAGCACTGGTGTGCCCGTTTCTGAGCTTCTGCTGCGCAAGATTTCGCTCCACGCTTCGAGCAGAGACCCGTAAGTTCAATGATGCACTGCAGCTGTACTCTGTGCACCTTCATTAATCGGAGACCTCATTGGTCCCATCTTGATACGCCTCAGCCCCTAACTAAGTTTTTATACTCATCCCGTTTGCGGAATAAAACGTGTCAAATTCACGTGAACAGGCTTTCAATCACAGCATAACATAGCAGGGGTTGAAATGGACGGTAAATCTCGTTTACCGACACGCTGGGAAGTCTCTTAACATGACCTGTTTGGGGTGATCAGTGCAAAATCAGCTTAATTGTACTCTTTTATGCCTCATTTCACATACCTGTTTCCGAATTTTGCACCCAGTTTCAGTATGGCTGAATATGAGTAGTGAAGGGTACAAACAAGTATTGTAGCCTTCCGTTCTTTACTGTTTATTAATCGTTGTCTTTCTAAGCCTTGCAGGTCAAACAACGCAGGAATTTCGACGCAGATGAGAACGACACTTCGCTGCTTTGCAAAGGTGGCCTGTCACCAGCCGAGTCCCCCTTCGGCGGTGCAAGGCCTTTGTGCTACATTTTGTCTTTACACAAATGCGACAGAGCCAGATCAAAGGAGATGGCTACAGTTCACCCTGCTGCGCGCGAGCTTTCCATTGTCTGTCTTACCTTACTTTGCCGACCAACCGCCCTCGTCTTTTTCAAAGCCTATAGCGGAGGTTTTCATCTACTTGTTTATTTATACTGTATAATCTGTCTAAGTATGTCTTAATGCGGAAAAAATGAATAGTGTCTTACTTTTGTTTTATTATGTCAAAATATCTGGAGGTGGTGTCTTATTTCTAAAACTGTCAAACAATGTGTGCCATGTGCGCGTTCTGTTTCTTGTTTGCGGAATTAACGGCAGATCTACACATTTCTTACTGCCATGCTTACAAACCACAGGTGCTTAAAACATTGGCGACTACATATCACCGGCAGAGAAGCGGCCGGCCATCGGCAGTCAGAAGATGGTGGTTCACAAGCCCCTCCGGTCGTAAGCAGTTGCAAGTGTGTCAACTGCCAAAATTGGTTCCTTTATCTCAGTAAACTCATATTGGGCCCACCAAAACTATCCGCAGACGTGTTAGAAGCGCACATATACGAGTGCTTCGAACACGTTCACAAACAGTTTTCATAGGCCCAATGTGAGAAGACACGAGAAAGAAACGCGCCTCAGACGGTGTTTGCACGCTGCCTTTTGATTGGTGTACGAGCATTGTTACCGAGACTTTCCGAAGCGAGTCAAGAAAACGTCAGCAGATGATTAGTCTGCTAACGTAAATAAACAATAGAATTCGTCTGCTACGAAGCGTCATTCGCAGACAGAAATGATTAACGGACCGGAATAAAGGCAGCCGTCCGCTAAAAGCCTAGTGCCGCGACGAAGTGATACGGGACGCCAGCTGAAACTATAAGGCTCCGCCATACTTCCCGTTTGATGCAATCGACAACGAGGGCTCCCTCTGAAAATATCGAGCTCTGCTGCCGTACAGAGCTCGAATTCTCCTATGCATGTAGTACACTCGGGACAAATATTACCGCGTGACTCCTGTCACCATCCCTGTGTTAGTGAGTAGTTCTCACCAAAAGGGCTCGGAAACCAACTAAAGATATATCATTGGTCGATAACTCTCGCCGAGTAAAACGCTGGCACGTCACCTTCAATCAGTACCCGAGGATGCTATCGCTCTCACCATGGACCAAACACCGACCGTAAAAACTGGTTTTGAAAAGGACGTTATCTTGCAGCCTAGCTGGTAAAACGCACACAGATATGACCGCCAGTGAATACTCCCTATAGGGAATATTCACTGGCGGCCATAGCTGTGTGCACGACTGCTGAGCGCGTGCTGACGGCGAGCTTCCACAGTTCTTTTGCAACGTGCATTCCGCACCATCAAGAGTGCCGGTCTTAGCAGCCTATTGATGTGAACTCGTTCTGAGCAAGCGCTCTAAACAGCACCCACAAATGTGGCGTCCAGTGAATACTCCCTATTATGACATAACGACTAGTCGGAGGCTTTGCATGTTTTCTCGCGTTTGGTTACATTTTCGGACAAAACGAACGCAATATTCAGATTTACTGAATAAAACTACGCTGAAGTTAACCTCTATCTCATTTCTTGAAATAAATGCTTCCGCTTCCCATTAATGGGGACGAAGGAGAGGGAAATGCCACTCTAAGCTAGTCCTGAGTCAGAAGAAATAACAAAAAAGATATTTGTCTCGGAAAAGGGACTGTGAACTTTTTACCGTTGATGACTGGTAATCAATTTATACTGGTGATCAATTTACCAAATTATAACATTTTTTAATCAACTTCTGGGTGATCTAAAGAGCTCTTTAGCAATGCGAGTCTCTGAGGAACTTGTGAACGTGAACCAAGTATCTCAGCTAAAACCCATGTTTTCTAAGTGAGCCCAGCTGATGTTAGTTTTTGGCAAAACACGAGAATGACTGTTTGATCTACACTGCATATTATTTTATAAATGATAGCACTAGTCGCGTGGATGCAGCACTGCCGCAACCGGCTAATATTTTTCTTCCCCCTAGCTTTTAAACGTTGCATATATAAGGAAACATCTCTCGTTGAAATAAAAAATTGTCATTAGTATTTGGCTAAAAGACACACACTTGGAAATGGTATAGTCCCATAGGACTTAATTTTTTCGTGTTCTTCAGATTGAAATTTCCCGCAGGCACTCTCGTACTGACAAAGCGTGCTGTTATCCACGCCGCGTTTAATTTCGAAAGTGGCCTTCAGTTCTTTACCTTATTGAACTGTACTGCAAATGCGCGTTTTCCCGTCTGTTGCCTTCTTTTTTCTCGTCTCTGCGTCGTAATTCGTAATCATTTACTGCGCAGTTTGATCAAGTAATGAATAGCCAACTAGACCGATTCCAAGCACTGGTACCCTTCAGTTTTAGTTTTGCTCATCGAATGTGACGATATTTGATGGCAGGTAAAGTAACTTTGTGTTGGCGCCTGTTTATCAATACTCGTTCTTCTATACTTTACAGGCCGAGCTAACCGGAAATGCTCTTAACGCAAATGTGATCGGCCCTTCGCTGCCTAGGAAGAACGGCCAGCCACCAGCCAGCTCAACTTTGGCAGTGCCAGACCTGTGGGCTAAATTTTCCCCCAGATGAATGGAACAACGAAAGAGGCGCAACGTCATTGCGTGCTCTCTGTAGTTGATAGGACCAGCCGATATTCGCCGTGTCTCTGTGCGTGCTCCTCCGCCGGCTAGTCCTATCAGGCATAAAGAGCACGCCATGACGCTGCGCAGTTTGCGCTGTTTGATTGGCCCTTCGGCTCATAACATCGGCCGCGCTCGGACCGAAACTGAAACGAGGTATAGTCGGATCAAATAGGGAATGGCCGCAGCTCAGCCAACTACATGCGACATTTTTATTCCCTTCCCTACATTCATTCGCCGACACACCGTGTCCGTTTTGTTAACGTGTAATTCCCAAAACCTGTGGTGGCGATATACCGTGCAGTTACTGGTTTTGTGGCATGCTTGCCTTTTTTCAGCACTACAGAGCAGGAGCGATGTAACTAAACCACGCTCCTTGATCGCACCCAGTTGTGTCTTTGTCGATTTGTTTGGAACTGTGTCGACGTAATCCTTTAACACGTGTTTAAAGTTAATAGAGAAGGATCGCTTTTATGTTTTACTCTCGTGCATTTTTACAATTGACGTTTTCGGTGTATTCAGTATCAAGTTGTGATGCGCGTGTTTGATCGTGATATGATTATTTTACTTTTTGAATTACACTGCAATATCAATGTAAACCCCTGAATTTCTCTACTTCATCAGCATGATGTGTTTATGTTTGCTTGTTCCTTAAGTTCGTTCTGATTGGGCTTCTGTATTGGTATAGTATTAAAAAAAAGGAACTAAAGAAAATTTGATCTTCAGTCCTAACCGAACTTGCCCACGCAGCATTTGACTCCGAATGGCAGAGAACGGACTGCGAGGACAAGGGGGCGGAGCTCTCCTTCCAAGGAGCCGAATTGCAGAGGCAACCATTGAAGATGGACCAGGAGGGGAGGACGGACGGCGGTGCGACTTCTGCCGCCAATCTTATGGTGCCCTCAGAACTACCAACAGCAGGTACTAGAAGACGCACACCGGATAACACTCATCCAGCTTCGCACCCTCTTAGCACACCCTCACAGATTCATGAACGGTCCCACACGCATAGAAAACCTTTTTGTAGGCTCGGTTTTCCAGAAGGTCGAAAACGTAAGCAGTCTGATGTGGTACACAAAGTTTTCCCCACGTGGAGACTTCATTAAGTTTTAATTAGCGGCCTGCACCAAACCGAAAAATTATACCACATACATATTATTTGATATCAGAGAAATGTACCATGCATGCTGAGTTGCTTATTTATATTACAAAATTGTATTTTTCCTTCAATTCCGGTTGATCGAGTAGCTCTTACAAATGCTATAAATTATTTTCGACGCATGAAATAGCCCAAAATATGTTTGGCTGTTCCAAATGATTGAAGCTTTAGAAGTTTAGCTTGAGACTGGCAAATGTGCACATCATTGTCGATATAGAACCGCGTTTTTCGCTGTTTCAAATCGCTCGTAAAATTATCGCTGTGTACCTTAGCGATTTTTCAATTTTCTTAGCTACACAACGATTATTCTACGCCCCTATTGAATGCTATTTTGTGTAACCCAATCATCTGTGGGTGTGTGAATGACCCTTCCAGCGTTACTTAAAACACAGTCGCGATCATTATGAACGTCAACACGCGATTACCCAGCGCTGCGTACTGGCAGCGGTATGCAGCAGCAGGTTGCGTTAGCGTAAAAAAGTAAAGGACTACGTTACTTGCGAAATAAAGGAACGCGATGCTGTCGCCGACAGAAAATAACGCACGTTACTTTTGCGTTACTTTTTATTTAAAAATTGACGGTAACAGGGCTTTTGTTTTATTTTGGCGACAGCGTGTTTCGACCTCGGGTTGACAAGCCGGGGGTTGGGGTTTTTCTGAAGAGGAAATTTTTGCGTGGGGAAAAATAGGCAAAATTTAGAAAATATGTAGATTTAGAAAAGGTAATGAATACGTCACTACGTTACTGAAAGAAGAAAGGCGCTACCGGTAACGACGTCACTTGTAACACGTTACCGCCATCACTGTGCAGCAGCTGCCGCGGCGGCTTGACTTCCCTTCCGCACTTGGTTAGGAGAACGCGCAAGCCACCACAGCTGCGGCACCATGGGGCTGCCAGAGTCGAGTCTTTAACGATCGCCTGTAGACCTTTACAAGCATTAGAATTGAACCTTTGCGACGTCGCAAATGAATGAATGCCTACTTTAGGCCGGACCGGCGTAATGCATGTATTCAGGGCCATGTTCATCTAGGTACTCAAAATTCATGTTCAGAACAACAAAAACAGCGCCGACATTTCTTGCTCTGTCCTGTCATCCCAACAGACCTGATCGAAGCATACTCTGGCGACAAAGTGGATACCTTCGACCAGGACAGCCGCAGGGGTGACACCTCTCCCCCCACCAACCCACAAAAGCAGCAAACGCACCGAAACCCGGACAAGCACCCGTGCCGCTTCTGTCCTTACTCATGCTCTTCCGCAGCGGCTATCGCCATCCACGAGAGGACTCACACTGGCGAGAGGCCCTTCAGTTGCGATGTTTGCGAGAAAACGTTCACGCATAAGGCTACCTTGAAGGCTCACGTTAGAACTCACACCGGAGAGAAGCCGTTCAAGTGCAACACGTGCAGCAGAGCGTTTACTCAGAAAGGCAGTTTGGCGAATCATGAGAAAACTCATACCGGAGAGAAGCCATACAAGTGCAACACGTGCAGCTGGGCGTTTAGTCATAAATGCAACTTGGCGGATCACGAAAGAATTCATACAGGAGAGAAGCCGTTCAAGTGCAACACGTGCAGCAGGGCGTTTACTCAGAAAACCAGCTTGGCGAATCATGAGAAAACTCATACCGGAGAGAAGCCTTACAAGTGCAACACGTGCAGCAGGGCGTTTAGTCATAAATGCAACTTGGCGGATCACGAAAGAATTCATACAGGAGAGAAGCCGTTCAAGTGCAGCACGTGCAGCAGGGCGTTTACTCAGAAAACCAGCTTGGCGAATCATGAGAGAACTCATACCGGAGAGAAGCCGTACAAGTGCAACACGTGCAGCAAGGCGTTTAGTCATAAATGCAGCTTGGCGAATCATGAGAGGACTCGCACCGGAGAAAAGCCGTTCGAGTGCGAGATCTGCAGTAGAGCGTTTGCGGCTTATAGCAATTTACAGAATCATCGGAAGATACATCGCAAGTGATCGAAACCCTCACTTGCATCATAGTTGTGGAGGGGGTTTAAACGAAATACTCAAGCTCCGACGTGTGTTCATTTCATTTGGTGATACACCTGCAGGGGTTCCACTTGCGAGCAGTGTGTGTTTCGCATGGTTCAAAATGTTTCCGCCTTTTATCGCGCAAACACAGAAAAAAATGTGAATTTACCTTAGACGAAGCGAACAGTGTTCTTTTTTGTACACGAAAAAAAAAATACTTGAAACCTTATCTTTTTTATTCATTTAGAGTCATTAATCACGTGATGCACCTGGAGTCTCTGGGTTTTCTGTAGGGTCACTTACGTTACTTGCAAGTCGGCCGACTCATGACCATAAGTATACGAACAAAGTATAACAAACACCGAGTAATGTGGAGGGGTCAACATAATTTTAAGATGTAAAAATTAAACAATATTCGAAACTATTTAACACACCAAGCTGGAAACTAATTAATGCTTTGCTCATAGGACTGCAACAGAATGTACATGACTCGAAGATTTAGAAATGCTGTGTAATTTCTTATCTCATTTCGTAATATTCTTCGTCCTTTTTCTTTTTGATGAGTTTGAGTATCTGAATTCTGATGACGTCATTCAATGTGCTTGCTACGTGTAATACTCGTATGTATGTTTTCCTTTTGCATGAATTTATTATTCTTTTTTTTTTTGCACATTCACGAAGACGGTCCTGATCATTTAGGATATTCATACTTTTAGTGCTATACATTTGGTGTTCATATATACTTCGTTGCACCTTAGGTACGAGCGCGGACGATGTTGTGAGCCGGAGGACCAATAAAACAGCGCAAAAAGCGCAACGCAATGGTATGCTCTCTGCGCTTGCTAGAACTAGCCGGAGGAGGAGCACGCACAGAGAGATGGCGTATACCGGCTACTCCTATAGTCCTATGAACTGCAGAGAACTTGCCATGGCTTTGTGCCTCTTTCGCTGTTTGATTGGCCCTTCGGCTCATAACATCGGCCACGCTCGTACCTAAGGTACGAGCGTAGCCGATGTCACCCTGGCATAGATGTCAAAACTTTTTGACTCTGGCATAGATGTCAAAACTTTTTGACTCTGGCATAGATGTCAAAACTTTTTGACTCTGGCATAGATGTCAAAAATCTTATCGGAGCGCACGGAGATGCGCTCCGACAAGAAGCCGAAAACAAGACAGGCGTCCAAATTGAGCATTTCTTCAAAACGCCGTAAAATGGTGAGCGTGCCTCTTACCATTGTAGTGTGGGTGCTTTCGGTAGTTTTCGATGGTGCTCAGGAAGATTCTATTTGAAACCATACCTTTAAAATCAATAATGAGCAATTTATTCAGTCAAAATTACTTACCCAAATAGATTTAACGCTAAAACTGTTTCTTTGATGGCAGGTGCAAAGGGCCAAAGCTGGCAGGGTGGTGGATGGTATACGAGCCCGTTGGACCACTCAAACGTCGATCTTTCGCCGCATGCCCGCGCACCCAACCATATCCACGCAGAAGGCGTGGTCAGGCGATGAAATGGAGGCGGTTGTCTGGTCCTGCAAACGTGTAGCTCCTGCCGCACTGTCAGCTTCAAGGGGCCGTGCACCGATATTGGGTGTTGGGCTTTCTGGCACCAGTGAGACCCAAGCACTGGTGTGCCCTTACGTAAAAAAAATGTAACGAAATAGTGTCATTCTTAAGATTTTCAAAACTTGACGGGTTACTGAGATTCGTTACCGTCCTAAGAACGTATCGATATACCGTTACGGTTACTTTCAAAAGAGAACGAATGTTACTTTTGCGCCAATTTTAATTGGACTATTATTTGACAGCGAAAGGCCAAGGATATGAACTTGAACAACAGTTCAACTTCTACGGAGTAATTCCTTTGTGTGTTATTAGTTTGTATAATTTGTTGTACATGTTTATTATTTTGAAAACTTGTTTTATTGACTGTGCTCTTTTACTTTATTTTTTTTTTCCACAGATAATTTGGTAATTTTTTGAACGACCATAAGGGCTTAGCAATAAACTTCGATGGAATAAATCACTGGTTTGAACACAGAAGTCACCACGTGTCGACAAAGTTTTCTCCCATCTGAACGGATACACTCTTGGGAGTATTTATAGGTACCAAGAAAGAATGGTATATTGCATTATATTACAGTGTACCTTTTCTTCTTGGGAATGTTGCAAAAGGCTCTCCGATTCAACTCTTTTAGAAAGCCGGCGAACCAGCGCACTCTGTTGGGCACGCGCAGAGTGGAGATTGCGAACAGCTTCACTGATTCTTTCATGAGTTTGTTCTGAAGGCCCTTTAAGCCCAGGTTTCAAGCGCACACAAAGCAGTCCGGGCATGAAGAAATTGATTAAAAAAAATGAAAGACGTTTACAACTCCCTTTAACGCCGAATTAGAGTGCAGCTCTTGAGGAGGAGGAAGGGCAGGTATACGAAGAGGAGGCCATGCCCGTCCTCCTGTCCTGCTCGCCTCCCATTTATAAAAAAAATCCGATAAATTTAGCGCGAAATTTTTTCCGCTAAATTTAGCGGGGAAATTTACCCATAATGCACCGCGCGGTTACGCCGACGCCGCTCAAGCTGGAAACAGGCGCCTAAGAGCTGAGCCCTACAATGAAAAATTACTTACAAGGACAATATAACTATAGGTTATCTGGGCCCGTTTGCTCGAAGCGCTAATCGCGGCTAAAGTTAGCCGCAGTACCTAGGAGAGGGATTTTGAAATCACGTGACTGGCTCGGAAGGGATGCGGGGAAACATCCCAAGCAGCACCAGAAAGTGAATTTCGATCGGCCGACGGTTGGCCAGTGTCTGGACAGCTTGGCCACTTTAAGTGCTTGGCCACCGGAGGCATAAACAGGGCCGGCAAGTGTCCGGCCACAAACTTGTTTTTAGCTTGTCCGCCGGAGACATAAACACTGCCGGCAAGCGCCTGGCCAAAAGTGCTCATTTTCAGCTTGGCCGCCGGAGACATAAACACGGCCGGCAAGTGTTTGGCCAGCAGTGGTGATTTTCAGCTTGGCCGCCGGGGACATAAACACGGCCGGCAAGTGTTTGGCCAGCAGTGCTTATTTTCAGCTTGGCCGCCGGGAACATAAACACGCCCGGCAAGTGTTTGGCCACAGGTGCTGATTTTCAGCTTGGCCGCCGGAGGCATAAACACGGCCGGCAAGTGTTTGGCCAGCAGTGCTGATTTTCCACTTGGCCGCCGGAGACATAAACACGGCCGGCAAGTGTTTGGCCAGCAGTGCTGATTTTCAGCTTGGCCGCCGGAAACATAAACATGGCCGGCAAGTGTTTGGCCAGAAGTGCTGATTCTCAGCTTGGCCGCAGTGGACATAAACATGGTCGACAAGTGTTCGGCCAAAAGTGCTGATTTTCAGTTTCGCCACAGGGACACCCATAATCTAAACTTTCATCGCGTTGACGAAACTTTGGCATAACGACGGGCAGCGAGAGAAGCATCATGAGCGAGTGGTTGGCAGGATATTAGTGCGTGCATCGCGCGAACACTGTTAGCGCAAGCAAACGATCACCGTTTTATTCAGTTTTTTTTTTTCGTTAGACTTGAAAGGCTATTGTCTTAACTAGCACTGTCGTGCGATATGTTCATTTGGAACATTACTAGAAGTGGGAAAATATTTTGCCCGTCGTTGTTCTATGAAAATATAATACGAAAGCAGCGCCGACGTCATCTTCGCGCTAACAATACCGCCCTGTCGCTGCGCGGCACTCTTAGCGCGAGTACCACATCCGCGATTTTTCCGTTAGCGCTCCACATATATACTTCCCAACTGCACTCGAAGAAAAAAAAAGTTGTAGTCGGGTGCATCGGGCGCACATGCTCCCCTTTCCTGGAAGACGCACCCTCCGTTACCCAGCCAGTGTACCTGTATACCGACCATAAGCCCCCTTCTCTACCTTAAAAACCTATAGGTGTATCAATGCACTCAGCTTAGTAAACCGCCACGCTAGCCACGCACCCCGATCAGCTTGTGCTTGAATCGGATAAGATTGGATATTTCAGGCTTTGTGTTTTGGAAGAGCCTAAACAAGACGTCTCTCATATATTGATTAAACTTAAGCTAGTCTCAGTAATGTTTTAATTAAATGCTAGGATACTGATTTCCTGATCCAAGGAAAGCTAACAGCTTCGGTTAAAACCGCAACGGAAACGTTCAAAATCGAACCACACGTAAAAGAAAAAGAAAATGAACATCTCGACCTAGATGTGCAGGACGCTGGTTTTGTCGTTAACAACGTGGTTGTTGGCGGGTGGTAGGCAACGCTGTGACGCTATCGACGCTATCGTGGTGATTGACGCCAGTGATGCTCGGCCGTACTACACAGTAGAAGTCTTTACACCTTTAAGGGTGTAACAGGGGTGTTGTAGCAACTTACACCCTCGGCTACACCCTTTTAGCACCCTAAAAACTAGGAATAAGACCTCATATTTTACCGAAAATTTGCTGTTTCGTGTTACACCCTACATTTAGTGAAGAATGTGAGAAGGGTGTAGAGGAGGGTGCTAAATAAATAATGTAAAATGGTTTTGAAAAGCTTATACATGGCTCTGTACATAATGTACAGGTAAGATTTCTGCTTGAAAAGCAACAGTTGTTAGCAGTCTAGTTTCTTATAATGTCAGTTGTAATTCCTGCAAATAGCTGATAATAAAGTGCCTCTTTTGCATACAATTTTTATGTTTGCAAACAAAATTTTATATATGAGTTTATATTTAATTTTCTTACAAATCACTTCATGCTCAGAAATCAGAAAGTAGGGTGAAATGCTCTATACTAGCATTTTTTACAAATATTTATTGATGGAAGTGTACAGTAAGAAAATCAGTTAGTCTCGAGTTTATATCTGGCAACATGAAATCAAAATATTGTGAAAATGTTTGACAAGTATTCATGACATGCTGCTAGAACCTGTCCCATGACCATGTCAACCCGAGTAAAATATTCATTTGAGAATATGGTGACATGCACAAAAACTCACACACATAAAGAGGCGAATCCCATAATAAACCAGTCCGAGACATCCCATAAAATATGGCTTATGGTCGTCTATGGGAAATTCAATGGGAGGCTATCACCCCCTGTAGCTTTGCATGGTCGGCCATAAAAATTTATAGATTTTTATGGCCGACCATGCATTCTACAGCCAGCTATAGAAAAGTTTAGGGCCCTGCGTCTAAAGTCTCAGGGCTATGTTTCAATAACAACAACAACAATAATAATCATAATAATAATAATAATCAATAAGTTAGTGTTTTAACAGTGTCCAGGGACATCCAATAGTTCTTCTTGCGGGCGCAGTGCAATAGAACGCACAAACAGACGCTTGCGCGCTCGCAGTCGCACACATACACGCGCGCACGCACGTACACACGCATGCACACGCGCAATCCTACCC